TGGAATGAATTTCAGTTACTTCTTATACAGGTAGCCGATTTCCTAGATTCATCTTGCTGATGTATATTGCCTCTAGATTTCTGGTGCTGAAGGTGGGAAAATGGGAGACAAAAGGGAAGTTTTAAGCTCTTCATCCTTACTGCAACTAGAAAAATAATTTTACATATTTCAGATGCCATAAAATTTTTCTTTGAATTAAGGGATATACCCTGAAACCAGGGCTGTCCTGGAAACCACGCAAGCTTTGAACTGAGTTTGATAGAGATTTTCATCCTGGATCAAATTCTTTTCAGCAGAGTGATCTTGGCTATATTATTTATCTTTCTGGGCTTCTTTTTCTGCAAAAAGGTATTCATACTTATTCCATGGTTTGTGCCAAAATTAATTATTTCAAAATGCCTACTACATTGCCTGACACACAGAAGATATTCAAAGACTTTCAGGCTTTTGTCTTTGGCAGTGAAACAACAGTGACTTGAGAGAACTATAGCAAATCAAGATGAGTGCTTGTTTCTCTAATCTTAGCATAACACGATGAAGCTCAGGAAGAATAAATAGCCCAGATTTTGGAAGGAAGTAATAAATATCTGTTATGTTATAAGACCAGGCTTCTCCGCCATTGATTCCTAAGATTGGCCCTGAATGAAGTTAAAGCTTTCATTTGTGCCATTCTTGCAAAGGTTAATCCTAGGGTGGGAAGTGAAGATTCAGGAGTTACACCCGGGCAAGGGTCAGAAGATGAACCACATCTCTCCAGGACGGAGAGAAGCTTAGTCTGTTTCTTTGTTTTACCAGCCTCCGAGTGCAAACCTGGAGTGGACAGTTCTAACAGGGACTGGAACAGAGGGGTGGGTGCAGAATGGAGGCACTGGACCTGTCCACCGGGAGCTTGTGAGGTCCTGGGGACAGTCTGAGCTAGGCCGTAAGTGACAGGACATGAGTTTTTAATGTGTGTGTGTGTGTGTGTGTGTGTGTGTGTGTGTGTGTTCCCTTCCAATATCCCCAAATCTTCAAGTAAGCTTCCTTCAGAATCACTGCTCTCAGTTACACCATTGAAAAACAGATATATTCCCGAGACCCATTCTTGGGTGTAAACAAGACAGGGTGAAAGAAGTGATCCTTTCTCTCCATCAGAGTGACCAGAAGTGACAGATGCCATTAGACTACAAGTGCCCCCGGTGAAGTCAGTGACAAGGTCAGCTGCTGATGTGCATGTGTGTTGGCAAGATGAAGAGGTCAAAGTGGGAGAAGCACAGTGACTTTTTGGGACACATCTGAGATGTTGCCCTTGGAAAGCTTACTAAATGCCTAGGACACACTTGGACAGTGGTCCTGAAGAGACGGTTAGGCAGTTAATTTCCAGATGGAATTTGGTGCCATAAAAATGTCAGTTAGAAAAAAGAATTAAGGGATTATTTGATGAGACCTGGATCTTACAGCATAAAGAAGTGTGAGGAAATGGAGCAGATGTGCAGCCTTAGGTGTAGGCAACAAGGTAAAAATAAAAATAGAAGCAGAGATGCCACAAATACATTCCATACTAAAAAACCTCAGACACTTCCCTTTGCTAAATATTTTCCTGCCCTCCCACTAGATCCATTCATTTAATTATTAATTCATTTCCACATTGACTGAGCAACCATTTATCGATTATCTGCTATGTACCTGAAACAGTGCTGGACACTGGGGAGACTTGGAAAGTCAAACAGACTTGGCCCTGAATTTGTGCAGCTTGCAGAGAGTAGGGACGTTCACATTAAAATAATGAATGAAACCAGGCACTGGGGCAGGGGTCCAGCATGTGGTCAAGAGTCCATCAAATGAGTACAGTCCGTGCAGTAAATTTAGAAATAAATGTCACCATAAAGCCCGAGAAAGATAAACTTATGTTTAGTAAAGGCATTTTAAAACACCAGCAACTCAGAAAGACTTTTAATAAGATCCGTTAATATGAGCACTTTGGGACTCGATGATCTCACTTAGCTGGAAAATTCATTCTTGCAACGTGCTTCTGTCCACAGGAGCAGCAGATAAAGGCGACGGTACTGTGCGCACGAGTGTAGTTTGCTATTGGAGGGGCCTGATCGTCACAGTGAATTCAGGTAAATTATTCTCTGTAAACAGCATGATGAAGGGTGGAAGGGGAAGTATCAGCTTCTATGGTTTTTGTTATTTAGGTTTTCTCACTGTTAAAAATATGTCATAGAGAATCAGTTGCCTGCATCCTGCATTTTATTCTAATCTGAAAAGTAAGCCCATGGTGCATTCCTCACAGGGAATTTGTTTTTACAGCCTGTTAAGCCATAAAACAACTCCCTTTTGGCTATTTCTGATTCAAGGTATACACAGGATGGTTTTTTGTTTGTTTGTTTAAAGTATGAATCTTAGGTTTTGTGGGGAAGTGCTATGTGAATCTGAAAAATCGCATTGTGTATCCACCCCTCTGGAGGCCCGGAATCTGTAGATTTTACAGTCTAATTAATAATTATGTAGACAGTAAAATCCCCAAAGACCTCTTCTGCCTCCCCAAAATGGTTCTGCTTTCTGATTCTGTTATGTGGATTGAAATCACATCTGAATTATAGGTTTAACTGGAAAGAAGTTAGAGAACTGCAATGTGGGACTATATAAATGCCTTCATAAATTTTGGAGCAAGTTTTCTTCTTTGAAGAGCATCCCACTTGCATCATTCAGAGGATAATGTTTCTAGGGTGGTCTCTGTCTTCATGATGTTACCAAGAGCCCCAAGGGGCTGTAGCTACAAGGAGAACACGGAGTTATAAGTAGCAATATGTACTTGTGGATAGCAAGATATCTAACTCCTATAACTTTGTTGTTTTTTATTTATTTATTTATTTTTTACTTCATATACAATGACTTTAAGGAGTTAATTCATCTTGGTTTATCACTGATGCATATGTTCACATATTATCAACTCCTCTATGGTCATAATGAATACTGTGTGTCGTTTCTGGCTGATAATTTAAAATATGTATGTTAATATAAGTTATTTTGATATAACCACTGTGTTGCTTCTGATTACATTTCATAAAATAAATCATTACTTCAGGATAAGCAAATACATATAATTAAAAGTAATTCATCTTTACATATTAAATGACAAGGAAAAGTTATTCCTACTTTGCTTTTATACTTTTCCTATTTTATTCTTGTTCATGTTTCTAAAAATACATATAATGCAAACTTATGAGTTGTACAGAAAGCTCAATGGTGTACCATTTGATTATGCCTCAGGAGCATAGTAAAAGTGAAAATTAGCACTTTACAATACAATGTATTAAAATAAAAGTACCAAATCATATATGCTTACTGTTAAAAAAGAAGAGGTTAGAAAAATACAATTCTTTAAAGAACATATCAGGTAAACAGATACCAAGATTTGGATAGTGTTCTAGTCATCCCATTATTATTGAGCATACAGAAGATTTGACAGGTTCTTATGGAAAAAAAGGCAAAAATAGATTCTGTTTGACACAGTGTCATGAGGATAATATAAATAATTTCAAAAGCTTTCACAAAAAAGGACAAGCAATCCAATTTGTTTATTCCCAAGGATAATGCTGAGTTTATTTATATTTGAAAAGAAAGACTAAGTCCTGACTTTAATCCTCACTGTCTCTGAATTGTTTAATTTCTCTGCTTTCATTGAAGCAACCATTCAGCATGGTCATTAGCTAGAGCCAGCCCTCCCTAACTGCTCTTCCAGGTAAATTAGATCCCAGATATGCTTTTATCTACCAGCTTGATTTCCAAGTCCTTTATAATGCACCTCCCCTTAATGCTTCAATGTAGTTTTCACTGTCCACTTTATGTACCTTATATGCCTTTGCTCATTGACAAAGTCAATTAAAGAAGCACACACATAAGCTGTTACTATACTGGAAGATATTTTAAAATTATTGCTCTTATTTTTCATGTTGTTCTGGGCTGCATTGTGCCCTTTTCCTTGCCCCAAATTCATAGGTTGAAGTACTAACCCTCAGTACCTCAGAATGAAATTTTATTTGAATGTAAGATCTTTAAAGAGATAAGTTAAAATGAAGCAGTAGGATGAGGGTCTAATATAATATGTCTGGTGTTCTTATAAGATAAAGGGGTGTGCACACAGAGAAAAGGGCATGTGAGGACATCTACAAGAGAGGCTTTGGGAGAAACCAGCCCTGCCAACGCCTTGATTTTGGACTTCTGATCTCCAGGACTGTGAGGAAATAAATTTCTGTTCAAGTCATCCAGACTGTGGTATTTTGTTATAGCAGCCCTAGCAGGCTAATACACATGTATACTTAGTAGGTGTCAAAATAAATTTATAGCATTGTAAAGATACCAGTTTGGCCTGAAATTCAATTCTTAATACAGAAAACATAAGAGCCGATACAGAAATGGATTTTGGAGAAATGCCCCCTTATGTCCTTTCTCTCTCTCTAAAATGAACTCTACTCATCTACCCACACCACAAAATGTTCTCTGTTCTAGGCCACTCTGGCTTCCTTCTCTGTACCTCTTGAGTACCTATTTCCTACATCACTGGAAAAATACATATTTAACATCAGAACCTTGTTCTCATTCTGAATCTTGTATTTAAAACCAATACAAATATACCTGTCTATTTGAAGCTGGTGTAAAGTAAGGTAAACACATCTCATCTTCCTTACCTCCTTGCTCAATCCACCACTCATTTTTCCCTTCCTTTCACATTCACAGCGGCACCTGGGACATTACCACATAAGACATAGGCTTAAAGCCCCCGAATTACATCACACTTTATTATTACCTTAAAATATCCTTAGGAGACAAGATCTCTCATGTTAGAACTGAGGCTACACCATGCACTTTAAAAATCACTTCCTATATTAAGATGATAGACAAATAATTGAACTAATAGCATAGTTTAGGGTACATACTTTAAGTTGCTTCTTAAATGAATTTGAATCACATAATTTTTCTGACTTAATTTAGAAAGCCGACACCAGCCTGAGAATCTAAGTACTACCAGTGGTGCGGAGCTCTGCTCGGAGCTGGTAGGGTTTGGGCTTCATGGCTAAACCATACATGGGCGTCAGGTCCAGCTCGGCCCCAGGGCATTTGCTCAGCTTGAGCTGCTGCAGAACTGTGACGATGAAAATGAAGACCTCCTTCCGTGCAACATCTTCTCCAAGACACTTCCGGATTCCCATTCCAAATATCATAACCTTGTCGACAAGACTTTTATTCAGTTCCCTGTTTTCATTTAGGAATCTCTCAGGATTAAATAAACTGGGATTATGCCAGATAGTTCTGTATAAGAGAGATAAAAGTTGCATTTTAAAAAAGACAAAAGAAATCATTTTATCATTTTGCCATTCTTGCCAACTTCTCCACAATAATTTTGTTTTGCATGAAATGTTTGTCTGGAATATCCTTTAGAAATGTTATGTAAAATATATGTGTAAATATTCAAACATTTATATGTATATATATTTATGTAGGTATATCATGATTATGACTTTTGTATATAAAATTCTCTAATTTATTTATAAGTTTAGTTATCATAAAGAATTAGTACACTTATTCTTAGTTTTCACTAAAATGACTTCTGTTTCATCAAATAGTGAATAAAATACTTGAAAATTTATTTCAATTTTTTATGATTTTAAATGAAAAGTTCTATAAAATTGTTATACAAATATTCCAAAATATTGGTATAAGTAAAAAGGAATAAATATTCAATCTCCTTTGCTTTAAGCAAAATGAGCCACACCTCTCACTCTCTCACAAATATGTTTAGCAAAAGGCCTTTATACATTGTCACAGAGCTGCCAGGTCACCAGGAAGTGGGTGTGACGGAGGGATTGCCCACATCTGTGCGCCTGGTTCTCACTTTCCCCTCCACTTTTTGTTTCAGGCACCATGTCTGGCTTGTGTATGACAACTCACGCTAGCATGTTCCCTAACACACCCTAAATCGTACATGAGGGACCCACTTTACTTTATGAAGAACTGGGCCTCTTTGTGTATCCATGTCACTCTCTAGCAGAAAATTTATCTTCTTTCTATGCCAAAAAACACAGACCTAGAGACCTACAAGTCATACTCAGCCCTCTAATAAATTTCATTTGCTCTCATACTCTTTTAAAATTAATTCCTGTTGTGAACATTTAAACATCAGAAGCTTCCACATGAAAATTTCCATTTCTAAGTTCTGCCTTATAACTGATAGAGCTGACAACATTGGGACAATGTCCTGCTTGACCTCCGTTTACTGAGCTCAATCAAATACAACAGATGACCTCTTCTTATTGTTTCCACAAAGGCAATTCTCTCATTTTTGGTATTTTCCACTGCTCAGTAGGTGCTTATGTTTGCGACCTTTGTTTTAGTTAAATAGGAATAATTTCCCATGATATCAAGTCTTGAATCACATACTCATTTAGCTTAAATAAGTGCCTCCATACAAATGGTATTTCTTTATAAGCACCTGTGTTAACACAATTTGTTTGAATATTACTCAGTATTCAGTATAATCACACATTCTTAGGATACTAGAACACTTAAAGGCACTTGGGGTAGTGCTAACTGAGAACAAATGCCATTAAATTTACACTGACTATATTTTCCTTACAGTGGGTTTTTGTCTTGTGTTTTATCCTCAACAGAGGATATTTTTTCCATTACTTTTCAGAGAGAGTGGAAGGAGAGAGCTAGAGAGAAACATCAATACGAGTGAGACACATTGACTGGTTGCCTCCCTCGTGCGTCCAAACCAGGGCCAGGCATCGAGCCTGCAACCGAGGTACGTGCCCTTGGCCTGAATCAAACCCAGGACCCTTCAGTCCATGGGCGACACTCCAACCACTGAGCCAAACCGGCCAGGGCTACAGAGGGGTTTTAATGCTCGATTTTATTCTGCACATTCACTGAGGGTGAAGAATGGAGGTGGCAACCTTGCTGACAATACATTTTGCAGTGGGACGGCCTGTGCAGCGAACGTGCTGTGAGGCGCACAGGAGAAGGCCTCTCTCCCAAACAGCCTGGAGCATGAGGCGTCAGTCGGGGGAATCCTGGCGGAAGGCAACGAGGCTGTGCGGAGCGCTGTATCCGCGGCCCACTGAGCGCGGGAACTCAGCCTCTCCCGGCGTCTGGAGGCAGTCAGCCCCGGCCACGTGGGACATCCAATTTCTGTCAAACCAATAAACAATGAATGTGGTCCTGCTTCTACTCCTTGCTGAACTTGTGGCTTTAGGTAACTCATGTCACCTGGCTGAAAGTCTCCTCCGCTGTATAATAGGGATCATGGTAGCGCCACTGCAGAGGGTTATTGTTGAGGCTCAGAGGAGATGCTTCAAGATTTTGGGCCCAGCATAGGGTCTATCAATACCAGCTGCCACCATCATCATTCCCGCCACCACCATCACCGCTGCCATCAGCCTCACTTCCTCTGTGTGAGGTATCTTCAGCTCAGCTCTCCTCTTATAGCTGATATAGATGAGAACCGAGCTATATTTTATTTGCAAATATTTATTGGGTAGCTACTATGTGCCAGGCACTGATCTGGGTGCTGAGGTAGAGGAAAACCAAACAAACAAAAAGAAAGAAAAATCTCTGCCTGGTCTTTCACATTCTGTTGGGGGGTTTCGCGCTGCCGTTCAAACATCAACCGGCCATAACCGAGACAGAGGGTGAACCCATGAAGTCCTTGGCCTACATCTCCCCCAGTAAGCCCACTTTCAAAGTTGGATGTGCCCTGAATGAATTTGTGTTAAGATACCATCTTCCCATTATCAGTGAGAAGAGAAAACTGAATTTCCTTCCAACTTCTTTCAAGAGAAATAGAAGGAATGAAGTTTGGTTAAGAATGTGTATCTTTCCCTGATTAATAAATAGCAAACAAATAAACAAACTTAACCCCCAAAAATAATTTTGGTGACTTACTCATCATGATTTATTTGATGCATGTTGATAAAGGTGCACGTATTCTTGGGAATGAAATAGCCATTCAGAGTAATGTCTGCTGTGGTACTGGGAAAGCAAAACACATCGTTATCACACAGCACATCCCGTGGATTCAAACAGCCCGTCCCTAAACTGCCGCCCACAACTCACAGGCTATATTTATTAATGTCTTTTAAACAACTATAATGATATGAAATCTTTATAAATCTTCATTCTTTCATTAGTTGACACCTCTCCCACCTATTGTCAAATCAGTAATTTATTTTTGTATTTGTAAAACATACTGAGCACTTAACATATTTAAAGTATTGCTATGAGCTAAAATCTCAGTGGAAAATGATCTCAATATTTCTATGACAAAGTTGCCTATAAGTAGACACATCAAATTATATCAAGAAACTATAAGGAAGTTATAAAGCATTTTCTGTATATCCAAAGTGTTTTGGCCTTTATCAATAGATCAAGAAAAAAACACACATAAAATCTTTTAGTATTTGGTAGAAAGAACAATAGAATTGGAACTAGAAAACCTGAACTCTAGACACTGCTCACAAAGAACTATTGGGCAAATCTCATATCTACTCTATGATTTCATTTCCTAGCTATGAAATGATATTGTTTGTGTTGGATAATCTCTAAATTGTCTTTAAATAAATAACTGTTTTTTCTAGTCCCATACTCAGACTTCTTTATGCAAACTGTATACTTTGTTCTTTATACCTCTGTAATTGTGTATGGATTAGATTAAATCATGTGATGTTTCCATATGGCACTCCCTAACTTCCTAGATGGCCCCAACACTCACTTTCTCCCCAGAGGAGCAGCAGTGACATTTCAGTTTGATGAGTTTGAGAACCTTCTGGGTTCTCTCTTCTGATGAGCCAACCTATAGAGAAGGTGCATCTCATCTATAATCACTAATGGGCTGAGCTTAAAGAAGTAGACTTTGTACTTCCAGGGGAAACTGCTGTTGTTCAACCTTGCGAGAGATTGAGTGGCAGAGTATGTCTAATTCAGGTGGGAACTATGAGCAAGCCTACTTGATTCAGTTCTAAGCTAAACTGTGCAAACTAGTTCTGATCATTAGTAAAGCTCTTATTTGAATTTCTATCTGACTTATGTTTATCTTGTAGCTGGTATTGAACTTTGTCAAATAATACAGATATTATTCATTAGGTGTCCTCAAAATCCAATGAAGGGGAATGCCAAAAAAAGGAATAGATAAATTCTTTTGGAAAGATTACCCTCTATGCATGATCACTCTCCTATCTCAATACATTCCTGTGCTCCAAGTTTATTCTACAAAAAAACTGACCTGCTCCTATTTTATAGAAACCTAGCATGGAAAATTTGATCTCACTATTATTAAAATATGAGTAACTATTCTAAAGGAGAATTCAATATATAATTGCATTAATTGTAGGATTTCCCTCTCTCCATACATATTTCTGAAACTGTGTGTGTGAAAGTGGCTTTCCACATAACTTTTAGGTAACATATACATAATAAATATTTACTAGGGTACTGTTTAGTCTTGTGTGGGGTGCACATACATGTGTGTGCATATACATGTGTGTGTGTTATAGGTAATAGCAAGACTTTTGATCTTTTTATCTATGATTATTCCACTTAGCTTGTTTTAATTCATTTTATTTTAACATATTTTATGCTTTTTGATCCCATGCCTTTTAAATGGAAAACAGTAATCTTCCAGGTAGTATAGAAAAATAGATTAGTCCCAAAAACTATATATAAGATGTCTTTTATGTCTGTGCAAAAATTCTTGGTTTGTATCCCACTACTCTCGTTGGTCAATGTGTTTGCTCTTTTATTTTATATTAACTTATTTCTTCCCTCTTAATAAAATAATGAACACTTATGTTTTAAGATACATTTTCTTATCAGATATGTCCTCTGATGTGTTTTCAGGGATCCAGAGTAGATGATAACTATTATTTAATCCAAATGGTGCCTGTAAATTTTCAGAGGCTCTCTGTTCCTGATTATTCAGTAAAGCTTGTAGGTCATACTCTTTCATAAAGAACCCAAAGTCATCTTATGAAAGTCATTGGGACAAAAGAATTGTTTCCTTAAAAATAGGACTTATTTTTAAAACCTAAGTTAAAGATGAAATTTACTTCCACCAGAAAGAGGATCTGCAGGAAAGGGATTACTGTGAGTGGACAGCATTGTGTGTGCATATGGAAAACAAAGTAAAGAGACAAAATACAGAGAACCGTGTTGCTTACTGTCTGGCCTTAACTCCGCTCAGCTAGTGGTCTGACCCTTTAGGACACCTCTGCTGAAGGCACTACCTACTGCTGTGAAATAACCATAATTCCATCAGTTCCCTGAGGTAAAACACATTCCCACTCCTTCACTATTTAAAGATGGGAAGAGAAAAAGCACTGAGAATTCCATTTTTTATTTTAATTGTGTGAAATGGAGATAGTTCACACTGCTAGGATGTTGGTTGTCCACATTAATATTTAATAAAGCTTGTCCACTCAATCTATACTGGCATGCATTTGTGAGTTGGAGAGTCTGGTTTAAGGTTCAGTAAACTTTCAAATATCTATAAATGGATATTTATAGATATATAAACTCTGTTTAATCTACTTGTGGCAACACTGGCCTCCTTAGCCAATTGCCCAGCAAAATTCTAAGCTACTGAAAATGAAGCCACATCGGGAGGTGGTTAAGACTGCTCATAAGAGGAAGTTAAGTGAGTTTGTATAATACTTCAGGTCCAAACATATATTATGGTTGGATTATCCATTGTTTGAGACTTCTATATCCTTTCCTCCCCTTAATTAGAACATATAAGATGAAAATTAATCACATCCTAGTGTAGTTATGAAAACATTCATGCATATGCTATTGTTCCCTGTAAAAATTTCATTAGAGAATTTTAAAATAAAATGAATTAAGATTTAAAATAATAGTAAAATATACTAACACAATCTATATTTAAAAAGACTTAAAGTATTCTAATGCCTTAGATTCCTCATTCCCCCCAACCACCATTGGTTGCTGTTTCAAAGGAGAGTTGTATGCTTACCAATGTGGAATAGTAAAAGGAATAAAGGAGGCATGTCTGAATATTTCATTTATAAAAGCTTCTGTGTAGGGCAAAATTTTCGAGTCTTCAAATCTGGGTGATTTCATCCCTATGCTTTCATCTGAAAGAAAAGGGTCTTTTTTATTTAATAAGAAAAATGACAATGACAAAAATTATATTTTTCATCCGAAAGCACGTTACCAATTTCTTCTTGAATTTTGGCTTGAATTTCTGGATAGTGTATCAAATAAAGAAAGCTCCAATACAGACATGTTGATACAGTTTCAAACCCTGAAAAAGAAATGAGACAAAATGCTATGGAGAAAATTATTAGCAAAATTGGTATCTTCAATTTACTTCATATTTGAATATGTGAATCCAGAGAAAAGAATCTAAATATAACTGAAAATTAATAAACTCACAATAAAGTAATTATTGTACATTAAAGTTTGTTTAAACAAGGTATCATCACTTTTGAGATTATTTATACATTGGTTAAGTTCTTTTCATTATGCAAGCAAAAGCAAGAAAAAGACATCACATGCCATTTTTTTCTCAAGAGTAACTTTAACAATACATCAAAAATGTGATCATTTCTTGAAAACTTAACACTCAGAAATGCCACATTAAAAAACTTTTCTAGACTGTTTCAGTTGTAAATTCACCTCTATTATGACTAAATGTCAAAATTAATGATGCTATTTGTGTTTTCTACAAAATAAAATCTAGTAGCAAAAATTCATTTTTAAATCCACATATCTTTTTTCCAGGTTTCTTTGGTGATGATTACATCAACAATGATGATAGCATACATTGATCACTTGATTGCATTGTCATTGAGATGGTGGGGGGGGGGGG